CGGGAGAGAACATGAATCTCCTGCCAATTTGATTTGTACATAGAAAGGACTCCAAAGTGTGACACATCTCTCACACAGGCAATACAAGGCTGTGGTGTTGACTGAACTGTAATTAATTCAAAAGATAAATGAAAATAAATTGAATCAGTCGGTTCAATCAGTTGGGGAAGTTTCCTCTGAGAACATTTGGGCCGGATTTTTTAATGCAGGCTGCTCCACACTCAGATTATTAAAGGTCCCCATTTTTGAGGCAATAGCTCTGTGAAAAAGCCAAGTTGCTGGGGTAAGCTCAGTCAAGAAGAGGTGCTTAGACTCAAGAGTCTTTATCTGGGGTAGGAGACAAGAGCCGGGGAATGCATATGGGATGTCTTAAACGATACATGAAACAAAAATTTCCTGTGAAGTTCACTGAGAGAACATGGCAGGCTGTAGAACCATTGCCACAATAAAGATCTCTTTGCAGATACAGTTTTTAATGAGGTGCTCAGAAAGGGAGCCCATGGGATTGACAAGATCCAGCTGTTTGATGAAATATTCAGTTGCAGGTCAGTCACAGAAGTAAAGTAAGTCTTGGTGCAGATCACAGGAAGGGTGGGGGAGAGAAGAGAAAAATTCAGCTCATCCAACTTCTATTTTAGGAACCTGCAAAGTGGCGTTACACCGTCAGACCATTCATCTGTCATTTCAGCCTCTTCCAGACTGACTGGCAGTGCCTCCCTCGGGCTTCTGGTAGGAATGCTATTGAGCCTACCCAGAGAGACAGTGGGCTGAAGGTGGCAATGCAGGAACCCCAGCATGGAGCTACAGCCCTTCGCCACAGTTTTACATAAGCTTCTGCCAATCTGGTGCCCATCACTACCAGAAATCATTCTCCGCACACCACTTTGGGGAATTACACCAACCTTGATTTAGCCAAGAGGCATTCGCTTCGAAATTTCACCACCTGCACTCTTTGAACATCACTGTCCAAGGCAGGTGAGATGAGACAGACTTGGGCGGCATTCTCAAAGATTCCCATGGGCAAGGGAAATCAAGGGAAACATTGACTTCTGCCCTCTTTCCTAAGAATATACGAGGAGCACAGTCCTCTCGAAGAGGGCTGACCACGTGCAGAAAGGGCAGAAAGGGAGGAAAAGAGTCACCCCACTCAATCACTTGCCCTGCGCAAAGCCAACAGGGAGTCTTGTGGCAACTTAAAGCAAGTAGCATGTCAGCATGTTGGGGCCCTCACATGCAGTGGAGGGGTGAGGGCTGCACATGCAAATATGTATGTGCATGTGAGTGTAGGTCTACACAGCTGGAAGTGGATCTCTTGGGGAAAACTAAGGCCTCCACCCCTCCAACCCAGGACATTGCCAGTTGGACAGGTGAGAGGAAGGCTAGAGCTTCCTCCCGCCCACAGGGACTCTGAACTGGGAGTCTGCTTCCCCACTGCCATTTGTGGTACAGAAGCAGTGACTGCAGCCTCCTTCCCTGCAAGTGACCCCAAACATATAACTGCTTTCGAGTGAATATCAGGGGTATCAAAGCTGAGCCCCCGAACTTTGTACCTCCCTGTTTGGGGACTGTTGTCTTGGTATTGCCAGTAGCAGCACTAGCTCAGCAGGATTTTTTCCACGGTCCCACTGATCAGTTGGTTTGCGAAGAAAAGCATCTTGAGCTTGCTGTCTTGAGCTTGCTTCTGACTATGTGGGCCCCACAAAGAGCAGTCAAGGGCCACAGGTGGGGCCTGGCCTCCCTTGCCTTAAGGCTTAGGGATTTATTATGGCCTGCGATGGGGCCATTAAATTGGCAAAGGACAACCTGTCCTTCAAGGTGCCATTGACAGTAGCAGGGGGCTCAGTAAATGTTTTTCAAGTAGGGATGAATGAGCTGTTCATTTCAGTGCACAACTCACCTGAACCTGCCCCATCTGCAGCCCAGAATGTGATCAGGGGCACATTAACAAACAAACAAATCTAGGCATTCCCAGGCATACACAAGGCACTTTCTGAGTACACACTTGAAATGCGCATTTTTAAAAATGCAATTCGACATGTTGTTCAAGGGAGAAGAAAAAGGCACTCAGAAATGCACATTTTCCCAAATTCAGAATGCATGCTTCTGTTCTTTAAATGAACTGAAAGTATCATGAACAAAAATGGGAGGGAGTCAAACCATGTTTCAGAGTGACATCTGAAGAAATTTAGAGGATTTTAGCAAGCCTGAGCATCCTGCATCTTCCACCCCAGTTTACAAAGGTGCAACTGTGTGATGCTTTGCAGCCCACACCAGTAGCCCCCTGATTGTGGTTACCTTGAAGCATCTTCTGTGTCCATCAGTAGCTTCTCTCTGTTTGTGGGAGGAGGAGGACGCCTACCCTTCTTTCCCAGTACTCCATCAGCAGCGGCAAGTGATTCCTGCTAGCAAACTGCTCCCTTGCACCTGATGCCTATGTGATCAAATTAAATTCCATGCCACAGTGCCCATGCCATAAATACTTAAAGTGCTCACTGGCTATAAGATTTGGTTTGAAGTGCAGCAGTTCAGAAATCAGCCTTCTTTAACTCTGAATGACTTGGAGGCCATTTGATTGACCTCAAGAGCCCTCCGAATCTTGACATGGAAATCCTAAGCTTCATGGCTCTCATTGACTGCCACTAGAAATCAATGAATGACTGTAATATTTTTGCCTTTTGACAGAACTGCATGATATTCACAGGCATCACAGCCCCTTGTGAGGGATGAAATGTAGCACATGTTAGACAAATAAGTACAATGGGGATTGTGCTAAATGCCTTTAAGTTTTGCATGCTTTAAAAAAAGTACTCCTTTGCAGAACTGGATGGAAATTGCTGTCACGGCTACCCCTTCTGGGGGCTCAAAGCTGCCAGGTTTCAGATGGATGGGTTCTATTTGCTTTCCACAAGAGAGGCGTTTTACTCTGGGGTTTTCCAAAACACACATGTTCCTTCCTTTGTGTTCCTTGTGGGCAATTGTTGTGAAAACAGCACAGCACAGAAATGATTCTAGCTAAGAGCCTATGATTCTAGCTACTCTAGTTTTACTTATATGTTTTTGTTATATGCTTCTTAATAAATTCCCGGAGTATACTTTGTTATGGAGCCAAGCACTATTTATTATCCACTTTTATTTGCATGCAGCCTCACTGATAGAAATTTTGTTGTGCAAGGCAGACCAATGGAATGGAAAGTTAGATGTGGTGGAATGTATCCCACCTCTGGTGAGCACCAGCTCAAAAGTTCTGATGAACATTTCATGGTCTATGAATACATGGCCAATTCTGGGAAATGCAGAATACATTCATTACAGATACTAAGAATATTGAACATGAGTCAGGCATTCAGACCTGAAATTTATTTCCAAAGTGGGGGTGGGGGAACCTCCACCAAGGAGCAAAGCAATCCTGAGAGGGCTGAGTGAAGCAGCAAATTGTCTGTCCCTTCCAAAATATTTGCCAGCAGGGCAGCCACTGGTGGGGCTGTGGACTTACCTTTTCCATCCTGACAGGTGGTTTTTGGGGGGAAGGAGTCTTCCTCCTGTTGATTCCAGTGCGAAGGAATGCATACTAGCTCCATGCAGGTGAGAGAACTGATCCTGGGGCCTTTCAGAGTAATGAGGAAGGCTTGACCTGATGGATTCAAGGCTGCCTCTAACCTGTGACATCCCCAGAGTTCCTCAGTTTGAGTCTTAACCCAGGGCCTCAATGGACAAATTTGTCCATTTTGGATTTTCCTCCATTTGCTTTTCTAAAACCTCAAGCACTTTCCTACTTGAATAGGAGGAACCTGGGCAATTTTGCTAACTTCAGAACAAAAATGAACTGAGACAAAGTTCTCCCCCAAGCCTGAGTGCATTTGATGAGCCCTGTCATGCAATGTGCATCAGTGATCTCCCATCCATCCACACAAATGAGGGCAAGAATTGCAGACAATCATAAGCAGGAAGTCAATTTACCACTTGAGGCATGAACGGCGAAAATGGGCCTGTAAATTCTAGTGGCTCTTTCGCTATTTTCAAGCAGACATTTCAGTGTTCTTAAATGTAGTTCAATTTCCATGCACCCATTTTTTTCAAGTCTTTTGTAGTACAGATTACCCTTGAACACATACTTAGGTAATGGAAGATGTCACAAAGACCATATTTCTTTCAAAAGACTTCCATGATCAACATGAGACATATTTCTTTTTCCTAGCCACTGATGCAAGTCTATCATATTACTTGTTAGACTCATCCTTGGAAAGCTGTGCAAATGCAGACCTCGCATGCTTCCCTTTTCTTACAATGTCATCTTGGCTATCCAAAGAGAACTTGGATGCCTGGAGGAAAAGCACACACATTGTTGTTGAAAAATGAAATGAACAGAAGCCAGCAACCCAGGTCCTGTAATTTTGTACACTTTGGGAAGAGCAGTGAATGTGGAAGCCAGAATCCGTTGGCACAGGTACCATTTTCCACTTGCAAAAGTCTACTCGATGGTTTGTATGGTAACAGCTTATAAATCATGCAAGAGGCACGTAGGCTGGTGCGATGGGAGCTGAGTGGCTGCGGCGAGTGCAGAGGCATGCAAAATGTAATGTTTGGGATACCACCGGGAGAGTAAGAAAAAGATGGGCTCGCATGGAAAGCAGGGGCAGGCGAGGTGCATGCGTGTTGCGGCGGGAGGACACACGGTGCTTCTTTGGTTAGCGTTGTTATTTTCTAGGAAAGTAGGGATGTGTAAAACACATTCAGTCAGACTTGCCAAAGATAGTAAAGACTGAAATGTCTTTGCTCGTCTTGTGAAAAGGAAGGTTTTGCAGGTGCAAAGCAGAGATGAGCAGGGAAAGCAAAACAAAGCAGCTGTCCTTCCAGGGAGCTGGATGCAAAGAGAAAGTGGGGGGGGGGGGCTTCTCAAAATGTACCTTCCGTCTCTCATTTGATGCCTTAACTGCATCCTGTGATTTTATTAGGAACAATGTGTGTCATTACTGTGTTATATAAACAGCACAGAGGAGAAAGTCTTCCAACCCTATTAGGGAAGTAAAATCAAAAGATGACTCGATGTATCTCGTAACTAGTCTATCTCAAAATGTAGAACAATTCAGTTAAACATGCACACACACGTATAATGTTTGTTGTAGCTGTTTTACTGTGTGGTGACATCTGTGCATAGAACCCGAGATGCATAAATCCCCTTGTTCCAACCTCACTGACCTTCCTGTAGTGCATCAGCAAAAGCCCTTAGAGTTGTCACACAGAATTACGGGAAAGATTAGCTCCACATGTCCCCTGCATCAATTCTATACAATTACAGTGAATTCATTCTCTGTGGACTCTTTTGTAGCCAGTACATCCTTCACACACATAAAAATCACTGTGACATGTTTATGGAAGTCCCTGCTAGGGAGATCGGATTACTGTTTTAGGTTCAGTTCATGATTATATGGAAATAACAAACAAAATAACATGGCTCAGGGATAGGATTTCCACATCTCTGTGAATTCCCTTTCATACTGAAAATTCCAGTGAATGGTGAACTATTCGAGGGAAGTTCTTCTGGTTAAGATATTCTGAATTATTTCCATCAGATAGCAAGTCATTGGAAAAGACAGCCAGAGGGTAATTTTAAGCGGTCTTCCATGGGAAATTTTCTTTAGGTGGATCTGATGAAGTAACAAGGCAGGATACAATCCAGGGATCTTATCATCTACCAGTCTGCAAGTGGGAATCAGTGCAAATATACGATTTATAAGTGACCTTTGACTATAGTATGCATATTTTTTATGTTGTTATGTACCACTGCAACATATTGTACTGTTCGAATGGAAGTCAGAATGAGGAACATGAAAAAAGTAATGCTAGATTGGACCAAGGATCATTCTATGCCAGTACTGGGTCACCAGTAGCCCACCAGTAGGTTTCTAATAGCAGTTTCTGCTCATGTTCCTCCGTAACTGGTATGCAGAGGTATGCTGTAGCCATTGACAGACTTAGACCTCAGCAAATTGCTAAATGTAGCGAGAGATAACACTGGACACAACAAAGAGTCTTGTACCATAAAGATTTGCACGTTTATTCTGGCCTAGGTTTTTGTAAAAAAAAAAAAAAAAGCATACAATTAGGCACTGCAAAACCAGTGCATGTGCATTTGTTTTTCACCCTCTTGATCTCATACTACTAGGCATACCAGGAGAATCTGCCCCAGTTTACACTTGTTCAGTGTTGAATGGGTCTGCGTTGAAACCACAACAAAACATCATCGTCTCAGAATGGTATTTGTTATCATAGTGCATGTTTCTTTTTAAACTAGATTACTTATGCACAGATTCAGTTGACCCAGATCAGGTCAGCACTGCCATGCTTACTCATCTCCTGAGTTAGCAAGTGAAATACTGTTGCATCTGGAAAATGGAGAACTAGAGAGCACTGTGCAGGGGTATCTGTTTGGGACAGGATTTATCTCTGCTTTCCAGAAGCTTTTCATTATGATGATGCTTTAAAAGCAGAAAGTTAGTAATCCCAAAGAAAGATGAGCTCCTGCTGCAGTGGTTTTAAGACCTCTGAAAAAACTGTAGATAATCTGAGAATACTATTTAACTGGAGTGAGGTAGTCAGAGATAATTCCCTCTGTTTCTGATGCACAGAGGACTGAGTGCCATTGCATATACAGCCAAAATGGACATCCATGCACAAGAAGGAGGCTTTAGTAGGCTCAGGGAAAACACACATTTTATAAAAATACCAAAGTGGGGGAAATGCTTTATGGGAAAAGGTCTAATGGGGAAATTCCCAAAACAGCTTGAGGATTGAGCATGATCAGTAGCCACAGAAGGAAGATTCAATACTGGGGGATGCAGAGAAGGGTTGGCTGGTACCCACCAGAACCACATGCAGTGGTGCTGACAGGTTGGGGGCAGCATCCTGGTGCCAAGTAGTGCTGAAGTGGGTAATGGTGGGTGAGTCCTGGACTGGCCGTGCATCCTCTGCCTCTTACACAGAAATACATTTGGCTTTTCCTGCCTTCCCAAACAGGAAGTTCTCTGGCCCATTATGAAGATACGTGGCTCTATGTTGGAACTGCCATTTCTTCTTCCATTCTCTGGTTAAACAACAGCAATGAATATCTGCAACATGGCAAAATCTCACACACACATGGCACAAGAGGGACATTTGGTCTGCTTGGAACCCTGCCCTGCCCCCTGCTGCTCTTGGGGAGGAGAAGGTGGTATTATAAGAGTTCCCGGAGAAGCACAGTTGAGGCCATGGCTAGCGGTCTCCCTGAGGTTGCAACCTTTCGGGCAGTGAGGATCCTACAAATGAAACATGAGCAGAGGAGATAAGCAATGGGAGATGCTCACAGGGCCTTGTGAGCACAATGTCCTCCTCATGACGACCACGCTTCTCCTTTCCGCAGAGTTCCAAGACCCTTTCAAGCACCTCTTCCCCTTCATCATCATCATCCTGTCCCCCAACTGAGCAACCACAGTGGTTCGCAATGAAAATCTCTGAAGGCCACAGGTGGTCCATACACAAAGGCCACAGATTTCCCACGTGTGGGTGGGGAGGTGAATGAAACAGAGCATCATGCAGGAGAGCTGACTGTCTAACTGGCAACAAACTCGAGCATGCTGCATGGCCACAGCTGCAGGTCCTGCTCCCAGAATTCTGAAGGCAAAAGGGTTAACACAGGAATGCTAACATTTAAAGAGAATAGCACGATTCTGCAGGGTAATTAGGGTAATCTTGAAACCTACACAGACACAAAACCAGGTTTTTTGGGGGGGAGGACAGGAAGAAGTCTGATTAGGCCTGCAATCCTATGCATATTTAGTGTGAGACTTATTCCATAAATAGGTCTGTGCTGCAGGAGTCACTATGAAGAAATGTATTCCAGCAAGAACTGACTTACCATTCTCACCAGATGACTTGTCTTTTCCATTTGTTGCTCCCGCACCTTGTCTCTGGGAAAAGGGAGAAGAAAGGGAATGAAGACAGATGGACCTTGAGACTGCATTAAAGCAAAAAACAAGTGCAGCTATGAAGCTGATGCGCATTCTCATACAGTTGTTCCCAAGAGTCTCCTCATCTGAATTCCTACCAAGGCTTTGGAGCGCCATATTATCTGGCCTTGCTTCTGAAACTAAACCAAAGCACTAGGCATTTTCCTTTGTTCCGTGTTGGGTTTCTAAAATGCTTCAGTCTTCTCCAACCCCAAATTAAAACACTGTAATTTGAATTTCTTTTTTTGATTGAATATTGCTTTGATGCAAGTCTTGTTTCTTGAGTGAAACCCATATATCAGGAATTCCCCTTTGCTGTATATTGTTGCTTTTAATCCAGTTTCATCTCTTTTTGACCTTTTGTTGTTGTTATGTGTTATCAAGTCATCTCTGACATATAGACCCTATGAATGAAAGCGCTCCAAAATATCCTGTCATGACAGCTCCTTTCAACTCTTCCAAGTTCAAGGCTGTGGCCTCCTTTGTGGATTCATACATCTGGTCTTCCTTTTCATCTTCTGCCCCCAACTTTCCCATGATTGTCTTCTCCAGGCAGTCTTGCCCTCTCATGATATGCTTTTGTTCTTACCCTGTCTCATTTCTGCAGTGAAGTCAGGTCAGATCACTGGAAATGAGACTGTTTTGCTGCCGCTGTTTGTCTGTCTCTGTAGCCTGTGGCTAGACTCACGGGAAATAATCCAAGCTATCTGCCATGGCGGCATCTTTCTGTATTGCACCTTCTCTCTGGCTGAGTTGCATAGATCAGTTTCTGGGAACACATAGCACTGGCTTGCAGAAGAGAGCTGGGCTGAACTCAGGCACGCTGAACCCTTTTTGCACTGGCAGGTGCATTGGCAATTTTAAGAGAGCTTTCATAAAAAGGCAGCTACTGTGGGTATGAATGGTCCAAAAGCACTCATTTCTCAGGAGGCACACTGGCGAGATTAAAATAAAAGTAAGAGATGCCAGGAGAGGTTCCTCTGGGCACATTGGTTGCCATTTTGGGGTCCCCAGGATGAAGCAACATTTCTCATATCCCCACTCAAAAGGGACCCAAAATACCCCACACCCAAATGTATAATCTCAGTGCACACAAGCAAATAATTTTGTCTCTGCAGAAGCACTAACTTACATGACATTGATATAGAGAATTATATATATTGTGTGTTGTCTATCTTGGGAAGAAATGAGGACCGAGTTCACAGAGAGCAAAGAAACAGAAGGCTGTTGATCAATATGCATAGATCTTATCAGAATAAGCAGAATTTGTACAGTGAATAAAGCCGCCATTATCTAACACTCAAGTTCAAGTGCACAACCTGCTTTGGTCAGATTTCAAGGTCTTTTGCAGCCCAGGGTCTAAGAGACTACACAGCAAAGGGTTATATGTGGGAAGCAGCCCAGCTTCATGGTTCAAATACTGAATGAAGAACATGGAGGCCTGAGTTGAATTCCCTGGACAGCCATCAACCTCATGGGCTGACCATGGACCACTCATACCCTGTCAGTCTAGCCTACCTCACAGAATCGTTGTGAAGAAAAAATGGGGAAGGGGAGGGCAAACAGGTAGCTATTCATTAATCCTTGCATCTGGCAACCGTCTCGCCCCTTTCTGGTCTTTGGCCTAACCTCTTGTTCAGAGATGACTTGAGACTATAAAGCCAGGTCTTATGCATACTGTCATAAATTGCCTTTGAGTTTCTTGTGTACCCAATGTGTGATAGTAATTAACAGAGATGAGAAAGGCACAGAGAGGTGCTTGTAATCCAAATGAGCATTTCTATGGCCAAGGCAAGATTTATATTCTTATTACACATCATGTGAAGCAAGAGTATCTGTATTAAGGACACTGGATGTTTTAAGGGACATGGAGCAGCTGCTGGTCCGTCACTCTCCCTAATCTAGTAAAACAAGGCTGTTAAGGAGATGACCTCATATTCTGCTGAGAGAGATGTGAAGAACAATGATGTTGTGCCACATGTTCCTAGGAAGATGCTTAGGCATTCAGTATCAAGGGCTATCCAAGTATCACACATTTTACTATTTTATTGATTGGATTTGCACCCCAGCCTTCAACAAGTGGGGAAGGAAACAATCAAAAGCTGCAATAAAACCGTTTAACACCCACCCCTGCAAAAAGCCCCACCATGATGCAAAGGCAGAAGCAGACCTGATCATTTCTGAGCCCGCCTGATGTAAGCCAGAGAAAGCATACTGCAGTTCTATTTAGGTGAGCCATGTTGCAAGGTGTGTTTTAGCTGATAAATGGGACAATATAGCTTCTTCCTCCTGTAGAGGTGACTGGGGCACAACTGGGAGGAATCAGGAAGGCCCATTGACTCAACAGTGGCAGAGACAGGCTTGAGCTCGTGCCCACCTCTCTAAAGTACTCCCCCGACTTCAGGAAACTAGATGCAAAGCACCCCAAGCGATACAGGAGAGCATAAAAACGCTGTGGCTGTTAGCCAGATAAGGCGAAGCGGCTTCCCTCCTTCCTGCCAGAAAAAAACTCTTATTTCCATTGGCCTGGGGCTGCAGAAATGATGGAGAAGTAATCTGGTCTTTGCTAAGCTGGAGTGTTAGTGAGAGGATATCAGTTTCCCTGAGATGGCTAGGAGGGCTTGTTTAGAGGTCACCATGTTGTTCCAGAACTGATCTCTCTCCTCCATTTTTCTCCTCCATTCCCTGTTCCTCATGCCTCTTGCCCTCATAGTTGATAAACCTAAGAGCAGAAGCTATGATTCATTTTCATATATGTACATGGCTTACTGCCAGCTAGAGAATTTGGCAACATTTGATGGGCTCAGATCCAGAAATGAAACCCAAGCTGGGCAAGAATTCCCAGCTTACTTGTCCACTGGAGACCTGCCCCAGAAAAAAACTGGTGATGGGAGCCAAGCATCCACTTAGCATGGGAGACTTGGGGAGTGCAAGGGCAGCTTGTGCAGGATTGGCAAAGTTTAGCAAATCCAGATTGGTTTCACAAATAGCTGAGCTATTTGCTCTTTGGGGAAAAATAGTTCAGTTCATTCCTGAGTCAATCTGATGTGGGCCAGAGAGAGAAATGACCCATCTCTCCCACCACTGAATTTTTAAAGTGAATTTACTGTATTCAATATTTATTGAGAATAGCTACTTGGTAGGCATTTGGAAGCTAAACATGAACTAATATGTGCGTGTGATGACGTACGCTATGAATGAACTAAATCCATCTGTTTCACTTAATCTCACATTCAAATGTTTTAAACCTCAATTTCTTCCCATTCCACATATGAAGAAATACATGGATTGAAATTAATGCTTGCCCATCCCTAGCATACACTAGAGTGGAGATCTTTTCTGTGCATTTGACTGGTGGGATACCACATTCCTGCAATGCCTCAGAACTTGTGCTAGCAAACACCACTAGCAGTTGTCTGAGGCACAGTTATTCTTCTACTTCTAGTAGATGAGATTCCAGAGCTCATGAGATTCCAGAGCTGGAATGTGAATGTGAAAACATAATAATTATACATTAAATAAGATAAAGAATTCTGCCACTATGATGTGTAGGAGGAAACAAAGTTTATGACTGCTCGGGGCTATGCAGAGTTTTAAAGTCAGAGGCTGTGCAGAACATCAACGTCGCAATATGAGATGGATTGACTCCATCAAAGAAGCCACAGCCTTGAATTTATAGCAGCTGGGCAGCAGTGTCAGGGAGAGGACATTCAAGGGCTTTCATTCATAGGGTTGCCATAAGCAGGAGATGGCTTGCTGGAATATAACAACCACAAACAAAGGGGCAGCAAAAGCTACAATATGGGCCAAAGGGTCCCCCTCAGCCACACTTTTTGACATAATTATCAATGTAGTAAATTGTGTTCAGTAAATATGGCACAGTCCTTAGGTGTAAGTCAAAGCCAAGAGTGACTTCCTTGCTATAAAGGAACTGTACCTGCTTTATTGTTTCACTATTCCTATTTCTTGCGATTGCTCCAGGCTGCATTTTTCTTTACAATTTCCCACCTAACTTTCATTTCTTTAAATCTTTTCATTATCTACTTTCTGTGATGAGTTGTGGTCAGTTATGCTTTAACAAAAGCCTCTTGGGAAGATTTTATTTATGACCCATAAATATCCTTTCTGAAATAAGTTTTAAAGGCTTTTTTATTATTTTGAAAACACTTTCATTGCAGATTAATGAACAAGAACAAAGAGAGTGTTTCTTGTTTGTTTTCCTTAAAAATCAAAGCAGAGGGAGGCAGTATTAGTTTTCGGTGACAGTCCAAGAAGGGTTGCCTCCAATGCAAGAAATCCAAGCTGAACAAATGTGTGCACGGGAAGAGCAGGATGGTGGTGGTGCAGTCACAGCCAACCTATGCATGTTCAGCTGACTGAAGCCCTGTTGTCAAGCTGTTCTCCCTGCCTCCCATGTGGGTACCACTGTGCAAGGAGAGGGCAGAGATGGGCCCCTTGGCCCAGCCTCCTTCTGCATCGACCACTCCCCAGAGCCCCCCACATGTTGCAGGCTGAACTTCTATAGTGGGGATAGCTTTATGTCTGAGTGGGCACGCCACACAATTCACAGTCCTGGAAAATCAGAGTTCTAAATTGCAGAGCCTTACTGTTTCTGATCCTGGAGGAAATACAACTCTCATAACTAGTAACTATTTATAGCCTTATCTTTCATAAACTGGTGGTATGGTAGTGTTTTCCATGGTTCCCACCAGGCCGCTTCATGGGAGTGCCCCATGTTCTAGTACTATGTGAGACAGAGAACCCATGCTGTAGCTGCTTTTAATATTTCATAATAACCAGATATTTAAATGGTCCTAATGTATAAACTCATGTGGTCTGAAACATGGAAGGGCCACTGTTTAATCCCTCCTCTTTCTTAATGGTACTCCTGGAACTGGAGAAGTATACAGCTAAATGTTAAGTGAGGGCAGTTGCAGGTAATAAAAAGACACTAGAAATAG